TCTTTCTGCTGTGCCTTTTGCAATCGTTTATGTCTGTCACGTATTGGCCTCATAAGCCACCAACGTGCCTGTAGCAAATGTGGATAGAACCTTCCCAAATCTTCGTTCGCGAAGCCTCGCCATGATGATGATGATAAAGCTGCACTAGCTCGCTCTGTAAAGCTTTAATGTACACTTTCCTTAAAAAGCACATTACCTCCCACCAATAAACTAGTTTTTTTCTCAGCCTGAAATGTTACCAGTCTTCAGTTAACCACAAGTACAGCAAGACAGGTAGAACTTGAAATTTTTACTTTTTTTTTAGTCTAGTCTAACATTTGTAACAAAACCCATGAATTAATTATTTGTCATTTTTGTAGCTTTAACTTTGGTGTTGAGTTATTGTTATTGTTATTATTATTATTATTATTATTATTATTATTATTCCTACTGTTGCATGTTCATAACTTATCATGGTTCCTTGAATTTTCAGCACAGGAAAACTCTTCTGTACTGTTAAACGCAGAATTCACAAATTTTCTGTCAGAGAAAATACCCAATTTCAAATGTTAACTGATAGTATGTATCATTATGTCATTAAATGCTCCACATACTAGCAACTTGTATTTGCAGGAGTCCAGATGATAACAAAAATTTAGTCCTATCACACACAAATCATGTCCTAGACAAGTCTTTACTATGTGAGCATAAACATGTTATTGCAAGTAAGTTAGGTCAACTAGTCCATGGGTTTTGCCCAAAAGATGACAGAGAAAGGAGTACCAACAGGCAGTTTGACAGAGTAGCTGAACCAGTACTGGCTGGTAATTACAGCCCACCTGAGAGCTTCACTTTTGGATAATCAAGCCCTTTGCAGAACTCAACAATGAGTGTTACCTTCTCAGAGCTTCTTTTCCTCACTATATGACTGCCCTTTCTTCAGTTGAGTAGTAGCTGCTTCAGTCCCTTCCCAAAAGCCACCCATAACTACCCATAAGAGGGAGTTAAAACTGAGCAGCAAGAGAGCAGGGCTTAAACTCTTAATAGAGAAATATGTGGCGATTAAGAACCTCTGCAGTCACCTGGTACCTGGGAAAACAACTTAAATTGGAAGAGAACAAGAAAAACAGATGATATGCAATATAGGGGGAAAAGAAAGCCATAAGACAAAGAACATGTAGGAAAGTGTATCGTAATCTTTGAGAAGGTCAGGGAAAAAAAAAAACAACCAAACAACCAACCAACCAAACAAAAAAAAAACAAACAAAAAAACACCAAAAAAATGTCCTATTGTAAAAGCACTGTTTACACAACTCAGAAGAAAGCTTTCCAAATTACTTCTGTTGCAGGATTCTTATATAATACTTCAGAACTCATTAATGCAAACAATCCTCCGATTTATCTGAGTAATTTGCTTTTAGAAAAATTGCTATGATGGCAAATACAGAATTATACTTGCTAATTGCTTTAGATACAAGCATGAAAAATTTTATTTCCTCACAATTCCAACTCATTTTAATGTCAATCGTAAAAAGCAGATCTACACAAAAATACTGAATTCAGTTTTCAAATTATACATTTTACATTTCATATAGAATGGATTCTCCCCCTTTTACAAGTATTAGAAACCAGGTCTCTCTAGTATTTGAGGTGTATCATGCACAATGTTCTTCTACCGTAAACACCTCTGACACAGCAGTGTAAGTACACAGAGAACTGCCAAGATGATTCTTCTCAGTTTTTTAAATGTATTAGTTTTTTGCTAAATTCATTCTACAAAACCATGAAACCAAATGTTTTGAAAAGAAACCTAAGAATTGATACAAGACAATGTATCAGATGCAAATCCCTTCTTACACCAAAAGTAAAAATACAAATAGCCATAAAACTGACCTTTTTTAATAGACAAAGCAATACTACTTTTTTTCCTGAGAAACAGGCTTTGCAATTGCAGTACCCCAGAGAAAATTAAAAATCTCGTCTCCAAATGACGCAACAGTCATGGTAACAAAGCTATCCAAAAATTATGGTATGAAATAAATATAGTATGGAATATTTTAGAACGGCAAAAAGCAAGATACCAATGAAATATTAAGATAACAGATCACACAGTTTACAAGTGTTTGTAGCCACGAGATACACTTCTCAATTAATACGGGACTATTTACTCACCTTTCAGCTAAGGAATGGTGACCACAGTACTGCCAAGACATGAAATCCAAAAAATGCCTTAGCAAAAAAAGAACACTTACCCTATAAACTTGCACGCAGTAGTTTAATTAGCACTTTACCTAGGTTGAGTATTTAGAGCAAAATGTAATTCACAGTGCTGTTGATTCTGACTTGTTTTCATTAACATGGAAACGAAATTTGAGTCTCTATCAGACTTCATACCTGTCGAAACAGGTATGACATTTCTGTACCTCTTACTAGAATTCCTTACTCCCTTCTAGTGTGGTTTATTTTATTAAGTTCTTTCTAGAAAAGAAAAATTATTTCTAAAGACCTCTTCAGGAGGCATAATGCCCATAAACCTTACACAAATTCTAATTTACTGAAAGATACCTATATTTTAATGACATAAATCATAAAAGT